TCCTGCCCAGGCCATTTTTCAGGATTCAGCGCTCTCACACTTTGAATGACAATTGCGCGGTCATACAACACTGTACCCAAAATAAAATTTTATCACTTTCTTCACACAACTATAGCTTTCTTTTGGTGGTATTTAATCAACACTGAGGTTTTTCATTTTTTTGCTAAATTAACAAAAAAAGACCAAAACGTTTAAAAAAAAAAACCCACGTTTTTCTTTTTTTCTGTTATAAAAGTTTGCAGATAAATAATTGTTCTTCAAAAATTTAGGCCAAAATGTATTCTGCTACATGTCTTTGGTGAAAATAACCCAAATTAGGATGTATTATTTAGTTTGTAGGAAAGTTATAGAGTTCACAAACTATCTGAAAATTGATCAATCCTGAAGTACTGATGGCCAATCTAATTTCTTGAGGTCCAAGAATGTCAGAACAGTACAGATATCCCCCAAATGACCACTTTTTGCAAAGTAGACAGTCCGACATATTTCATAAGAGGCGTGGCGAGTTTTTTGAAGTTGTCATTTTTTTTTGTCATTTTTCAGAAAATGAAAAAATGAAAAAAATTATTTTCACTTTTTTTTTTTTTTTTACATACTGTCACCAGTGCAGTACAGCGTCGTCATATAACTGGCATGGCGGTGATCAGGGACACTGACTGGTGACAGTATGAAAAAATGTATAATTTTTGTTCATTAGTTTTAATTTTTTATGACATTTGTTTTCTTTTTTTTTAAGATTTTTTTTTTTCATATTTCACTATGACCAAAGTAGTACAATGTTACCATAGTAACATTGTACTGCTTTCGGGAAGTGATCAGTTTTTTTTTTTTTTTTTTACACAATTACAAGAATTACCTGAATGACCGATTCATTCTTTTTTTTTTTTTTTTTTTTTTTTGGTGCTTAGCTGTGATTTGGCCACGGCTAATCACATGGACACAGCTGGGCTGTGATTGGCCCAGCTTGTGCATGTGATCGCTGTGACCATTCACAGCTAGACACACTAGTATACAATGGATGGCATGAAAGGAAGCCATCCATTGTATACAACTGTCATGTGACCTGCTGTGATTAGTCACAGCTGGTCACATGGTACCGGCAATGGGGCCGGTACACAGATTTGCCATCGGCCGTGTCCGAGGTACACGGCTGGTGACAGATCGCGCCGCTACGCGGCTCTGCGGGCATACAAACTGCGCATGCCTGAAAGGACGCCATATGGCGTCCACCCGGAGGGACGAGGGGTTTTGCAGGCCACCATCTGAAAAATCCATAAAAAACACATAATACAAATGTTATAAATTGAGTTGCAGTTCAGTGAGTAAAATAACTATTTGATTCCCCCCCCCCACCAACCAACAATAATTCTGTCTCTCACAGACTGGTATATGTGCTCTTGTGGTACACAGATTAGTCCTGTCAATTTAAGAAGATGCTCCTAATGACAACTCGTTATGTGCATAAAAGAAACCTGTCCACAGAATCTCCTTCCATTCAAACCTCATCACCATGGGCAAGACCAAAGAGCTGTCAAAGGACATCAGGGACAAGACTGTAGACCTGCACAAGGCTGGAATGGGCTACAAGACCATCAGCAAGAAGCTTGGTGAGAAGGAGACAACTGTTGGAAAAATTATTCGCAAATGGAAGAAGTACAAAATAACCATCAATCGCCCTCGGTCTGGAGCTCTATACAAGGTTTCACCTTAAGGGGTAAGGATAATCATGAGAAAAGTGAAGGATCAGCCCTGAACTACATGGGAGGAGCTTGTAAATGATCTCAAGGCAGTTGGGACCACAGTCACCAAACAAACCATTGGAACACAATACGCTGCCATGGACTGAAATCCTACAGCGCCTGCAAGGTCCTCCTCCTCAAGAAGGCACATGTACAGGCCTGTCTGAACATCTAAATGAGTCAGAGAAGGATTGGGAGAAAGTGCTGTGGTCAGATGAGACCAAAATTGAGCTCTTTGGCATTAACTTGACTCACCGTGTTTGGAGGAAGAAAAATGCTGACTATGAACCTAAGAACACCATGCCTACTCTCAAAGCACAGAGGTGGAAACATTACGCTTCGGGGCTGTTTCTGTGCTAAAGGTACAGGCTGACTTTGCTGCATTGCCAATGGATGTGCCCATGTATTGTAAAGTCTTGGATAAGAACATTCTTCCCTCAGCCAGAATACTGCAGATGGGTCGTGGATGGGTCTTCCAGCATGACAATGATCCAAGGCAACAAAGGAGTGGCTCAAGAAGAAGCTTATTAAGGCCCAGCCAGTCTCCAGACCTTAATCCTATAAAGAATTTATGGAGAGAGCTGAAACTTCGAGTTGCCAAGCAACAGCCAGGAACCTTAAGGATTTAGAGAAGATCTGCAAAGAAAAGTGAACCAAAATCCCTCCTGAGATGTGTGCAAACCTAGGAGCCAGATACAAGAAACATCTTACCTTTGTGCTTGCCAACAAGTGTTTCTCCACCAAGTACTAAGATATGTTTTGCTTGGAGATCAAATACTTATTTTACTCACTGAACTGCAACTCTGTTTTTTCTGGATTTTTGGTTGATATTCTGTCTCTATTATTTAAAGTACAACATGATAAAAATTATAGACCCTTCATTTCTTTGTAAGTGGGAAAACTTACAAAATCTGCAGGGGATCAAATAATTATTTCCCCACTGTATATGAACCCCTTTGAATTTTCAGGTAGATGGAGACAATAAGAAAGCAGCCAATGCTGCACATACACTTTAGAGAAGCCAAAATGTATCACAGGTCAACTCTGTATTAGACGTTTATTTGCAAATCATTTTATACAAATAAGAAAAGATCATATAAAAATCAGTTCATAAACTTGAAAGCACAAAAAATGTAAATAAAACTTGCCAACAACAGCTATACGTTCCATTTAGGCAAAGGAGCTCTTGGAGAATCAGTAGAGAAATTTTGAATGTTTTGACTGACAGACAGACAAATGTAAGATATTTCTTCATATCTCTCAGGCTCCATGCACACTAGCTAAAAAAAAAAACAGCTCCTGATAGCAGCTTTCAAGCGTTTTTTTTTCTGCCTCTAGGAGCAAATAGTGTTATCCTATGTCTCCATGCACAATATTTTAGTCTAAAAGAATTTTTGGCAGAAATAAAATATGGAATTATCCTAAACTCTGCTAAATGCTGCTAACCACTGATAAGAGCCGGTTTCCAACATTTTTTTTCTCTTACCGGATGACTTAACAGCTGTCGGTGGGGTTCCCCACTGACAGCTGAGTGTAAACAAAAAGCATTACCAGCAATTATTGAAAAAAAAAAAAAAAAAAAGCATGTGGGTCCTATAAATTTATGCCAGGCCCTTTGGGTCTGGTATGGATTTTAAAGGGAACCCCACGCCAAAATTAAAATAAAAAAATGGATTGGGGTCACCCCCAAATTCATATCAGACCCTAGGTCCAAAAAAAAAAATGCACTATCTGCATGGAGTTTGCATATTCCCTTTTTTTATGAGGGTGTCCTCCCACAGTTCAAATTACAGTAGGTTAATTGGATTCCACTCAAACAGGCCTAAATATGTGTATAGCATATTATTAGACTGTAATTTAAATTACAGGGGTCAAGAACGGAAGCAAAAACTTGAATACTCTCTGTAAAGCAATGCAAAGAGAAATTAGTTTGATAACTGGTACAGGCTATAGTCGATGCAGTTTTCAATAGCAATTCAATGCAAGCCATGTTGTTATTACCTTGATAATTGGCACGATTTACTGATTCGGCCAAAATTAGTGCAATGTACTGATGAGAACCAGTGCCTTGTTTTCAGAGTACATATTCCATGGTGAAAATGTATATTTGCCAATAAAACAACTGTTAACAAAAAATGACAATATAGGATGAAAAAGGGAACATCTGAAATAAAAGTAACAATTACAGTTCAATGTGCTTTATAATCAAGTGCAGGTAGTTATTTGAACATATGCCATTACTGTCTACCTATATATTAAAAAAAAAAATATGCTATCATAATTTCTAGTACTGATACATTTTAAAATTAAATGTAATGTATGTAATTTTAATACTGGCCTTACACCTGTAGAAAAATTCAGTCCAACCAGTCCCCTGTTAACTGCAAAGGAAGCAGCTGGGGAGTGTACACATACCACAGCAGGAATTGTACCCCTTGTAGCTCTCAGCAGTTGCTACTGCCCACCAAACGCAACCTATACAAGTAAATTTGGGCTTCTCTGCCACCTCCCCAAAACAATGTGCAATGCATTCAGTTGTGGCATGCTAGTGCGGGCTTCAATGGGTTAAAGAAAGCTGTCAAATGCTCTCTGTAGAGCTCATTCACACTAGCACATCACTTTTTACTCTTGCTTGTGGAACAGTCATTAAAGTATATTTTATGGGTAAAAGGACTGTGGCATGTGTGAACTGAGTATAGGGGGAGGAGACGCAGGTTTTATTTAACTATGCCCCTTTAAGTTGCTCCCACTGTTATGCAATCTGGCCGCTATACTTCTTCATACTATTTTTTCGGGAAGAGGGCGTGTATGCCACTGCATGCCAATGTCTTTATTTTTGTAGAGGGAGTGTTCTAATTCCAGATGAAAGTTGACAAGTGCACGCACATAAAAATAATTAAAATTTTTTGCTTCTGGGCCTCAGTTCAACGGTTAGAAATGTCTTCGTTCCCAGTAGCGTTCACAAATATTTTCCACCCTTGCCCTTCAATTTTTTCATGTGCTTTGTCAAACTGTCCCCTTTTAACTCTTAGTTAATAGGGGAGAACGTTCGTAAAACACCAATTTTCTAACAAAATGTTACAGGTGTAAGGTCGACTTAAGACCTGTAAGGAGTCACTGTGCCATGACAAGGGCTATAAATCAAAGAGGTATATATGGCCAAGATTGAAAAAGATAAGCATACCAGATTCTGCCACCATACTGTCTGAGTATCATTTGTTCTTAGAGCTGTTTAAAGAACAATTTACATCATAATAACAACTATCCTCTAAACACAGCCTTCTCTAGTGCATCTTTCTCACTCATATACTCCAAAAATGATGGATAGTGTGTGCAGTCATAGCGGCCACAAGTACGGACATGTTCCAAAAAGTCTGGCGCCCCGGGAACAATGACGTTGTCTGCAAGGATGACAGAGCCCTTTTTGAGCAAACCACATTTCTGTAGAGAAAAAAAACAAATTAGCATATAGATATGCTTGTATATATGTCTTCAGAAACATCCTTCAATCCATGATATCCTGTAGATTTTTGGCTTAATATACAAATTACTACTTTCCCTAGAAAAGTAGAGAACTGGACTTTCCCTCATACCACCCACAGGTTGCCAATGGGCTAGTGGGCATCCTAGCACAGTGATCGGGAGGTGTGAGAATATTTGTGTTGTAAAGGCTGACGGTTTTTTGCCTTCATGCATTCTATGCATGAAGATAAAAAACATTCTGTGTGTAGCAGTGCCCCCAGCTCTCTTATAACTTACCTGAGCCCCATCGAGATCCAGCGATATGAATGACAGCCTCGGCTACCCCAGGTCTCTGCCTCCTCATTGGCTGAGACAGTAAGCGGGAGCCATTGGATCGCTCTGCTTTCAATCAAACCCAGTCAGCCAATGAGGAGAAGGGCTGGAGCCAAGCCGCAGCTCCGTGTGTGAATGGACACATGGAGCAGCAGGTGCCCCCATAGCAAGCTGCTTGCTGTGGGGGCACCCGACAGGAGAGCCTGGAGAGCCTGCAGGGGACCTAAGAGGAGGATCAAGGCTGCTCTGTGCAAAACCACTGCACACAGTAAGTTTAGACAGGGTTTCCTTGGATGTGTCATCACTGTGTACCAGCATCTGTCACAAATTTGGCCTACAGGCAGTACAGCACTTCCTATCCAAGGATAACTCCCTACACTCGTCCCAAATCGCGTTCCTTCTGAAGTGCATAGAGTTCACCCCCACCCATAACTATTTTACTTTTACAGGACTATTTTACAGGCAGATCAAAGGCACGGCTAGGGGGGCTAGGTTTGCCCTAAACTGTGCCAATCTCTTTATGGGTTTTTGGGAACAAACACCATATTTGGAATCACAACCCTTTTGGAGCAAATCTGGTTCTTTACGCCTGTTATATTGATGATATTCTCATCATATGGGATGGCAATTTGACCACGCTGAATTAATTCATTTCCCATTGCCAATCGAATCCTTTTGGTATTGAGTTCACATATGTCATAGATAACTCCAGCCTAGTGTTCTTAAATTTGGAACTCAGGGTCGGACCAGACTCATGGGTTGTATCCAAAACCCATTTCAAACCTACAGCCGGGAACTTGTATCTGCATGCCAAGAGTCACCATCACCCCAGATGGATCAACAATGTTCCTCTGGGACAATTCTGCAGAATTAGGAGAACTTGCACTTTAGTGGAAGACTATTACACCCAAAGTCTTGTCTTGAAAAAGATGTTTTTAGAGAAAGGGTATGCAGCTACCAATATCGAAGAGGCTTATACAAAATATAGGTCAGAATACCTTAACAGGGTAGTGACGGAAGCAGATTCTCCGACTGCACCTAAGACCAGGACCCTCAAAAGCTGCAATAATCCACACAGTGCAACGTTCTGCACCAGGTACAACTAGAAAGCTTTCTATAATCAAGAAGACACTCAACAAATATTGGGGCATCCTAACCCAGGACCCCCAACTTTCAGCACACATTCCCCCACAGTCGGCAGTGATCTTCCGTCGCCCTCGAGACCTGAGAAGCCTAATAGCTCCCAAGTAGAGACAAAATTTCCACCACATGTTCCACAAACAAGTGGAGCACTTTGTTTGACCAGAAAGGCAGCTACAGGTGTAGGGTATCGAACTGTGGGGCCTGTGTATACATGTGGCACAAAAAGAGGGATTTCCAGGGAACAGATGGTAGGACCCACCTTATAAGACAGTTTAACTGTGGCACGCAATTTGTCATTTATTATTTAGTTTGCTCTTGTGGGCTTCTACATGTGGGTCGCACCACACGTTCACTCAAAACCAGATTTGGTGAACACAAGCGGAACATAATACATGGTTTTGACAAACACACAGTTTCCTGTCGTTTCAGTGAGGTACATGATGAGAGCCCCATGGGACTTAAAATTTTTTTTTATAGAAATCATACAAGGGAACAATGACACAGGCGGGAAGTTCCACAAACTCTGCCAAAAAGAATCCTATTGGAATTGAGCTCTCTGGTCCCTAAGGGTCTTAATGACGCACTAGATATCCAGTCCCTTATCTAGTCCAATACAATATAACACCATGCGTTCCTTTCCATTATGGAAGTATTCGTTCACATGAGCCTGACTCATGATACTTTCTTTATCTTGCCCTCAATAAACACCTTACACTGGATGATAGTGCCATGTGTGCAGTAATAACTACAATTGACTGCACTATCCCCCACTTGCTTCTTATAGGCCCATGCAATAAATGCTTCCATCCTTATGGTACAGATGACCTTAACAGGTTTCATCTATACAATTGCACTGCTCCAGCTTTTAAACACTCTTATTTTTGTATCAAAATATTGTTGTTATTTATTTAATGCTGTATCCTCATACATTTATACATCTACATATTTTTTATAATGTATAATTTATTTTTCTATTCACTCACTAGTACATTCCTGCTATTATAGTATATTAGAGCCGCTTAGGTCCACTATTTATAGTATTGAGCATAAATTATTATCAGCTCTTTCCTCATGTTTTTATAAGTTTTTCTACAGAGAGAAACTCTTTTACACCCCCTCCATTAAATTTTTCCAATTTTTCTTAATAGAGGCTATTGTAATCATTGCATCGACACCGCTGCATTTGGCAGCACCGCGGTCTTCCACACTGCTTACTTTTGCCCTTAGTGTGACTCAGTCCCTGTCTGGCCATCTTAGAGTAGAGAGGCTTTCGGGTGCATGCGCGGATGGTCCATGGAGTAGCGCACATGCGCAGTACTATCAGCCATTCTATACACACTCTGATTGATGACAGACCTACAGCTCCCAGCATGCGCACACATGTGGAAGACGCCATTACTTTTTCAACTCCCACACACTCTTCCCTTGTCCATCTGTGCACTGTGTCATTGCCAGACTCATGTAAGTGCATTTATTGCAGGGACTTTTCTTTAACAATGTGTATTCATTCATCCGTTGCAATATGTTTTGTTTGCATCATGTATCATGGGCTAGCAGCCTCTCCTTCATGCATATTATCTCATCTAAGATGCATCTACACTGTCATCACCCAGGGCTGTGGATACCAAGCCTTTTGAATCATGACCCCCCCCCATTTTTATAGGTCTATTTGATTCATAATCTGGGTGGACCTTGGTGGATTCTGCCCACTTTTTTTGTCATGAAGATGGTGTGGTTTTGTTTTCTCATTTCTTTTATTGTTTTATATATGTAAGAGTAGCAGGTCTAATATGCTAGCTCTGAAGAAGGGAGTGCGTCTCCCGAAACACGTCATATTATCACATCAAGGGTTACCAGTCATCTGGGACTGTTACCACTAGCTCTTTGTCTCTGTTATAATCTCCTTTGGTTTGTGAATATGCACTTTTATGCAATTTAATAAATTCATTGTTTACCACAGTAATGCACGAAGACAGTGCACCCTTTCTTTGCTTTCCTTTATTAGTACCAAGATTTCCCGATCTTTCAAGGGCTGCACCTCAGAGAATGACAGATACAGTACCCCCATTCAGCATGAAGATTTAAGCGCTGGTTTTGTTTTTCTTGGTAAGTATAGACATGTTTGTTATTTAAAAAAATGAACCTTTCGAATTGCTTTAAGCTTATTCTGTCACCTTCCCAGCTGTTTTAATGGAGAACATGGAGGACAGACCACAGGCAGGGAGCTCTGTCAGGGCTGTCTCCTGGAGATTACTTGTGCCCAGTCAATTAGCATGTTGGAATGGGTGCACTAAAGCTGGGTACACACTGGCCGAAAATCATCCGGTTCAGCAGGAACTGTCCATCTTTTGGTCAGTGTGTACCAGCTGTCTTTGCCACAGAAGCTGGTCTAACAACCAGCTTTTTTCGAAGGGACATGCTGGAAAACCAGCATCTGATCAGGCAGGGGCAAGAGAGCTGCAGGGGAGATCGATGTACCAACATCGCTTGTGATGCTGACATTTTTTTTCTTTCATTCAACCCACTATTTTAACGAAAAAAAAAAAAAAAAAAACTGTCAGTGTGCACTCAGCTTTACTTGAGTACTGCTGGTCCAGCCTAAAATGTGTCCAACCTCCCCCCTTCCCTCCCCCCCTCCCCTTCCTTACACCCACCCCTCCCCCTCCTTTCACCCACCCCTCCCTTCCACTCATCCCTTCCCTTCCTTCTACTCAACCCTTCCACCCACCCCTTCTATCCTTCCTTCCTTCCTTCCACCCACCCCCCTCTCCCTTCCTTCCTTCCCCTACCCCTCCCTTCCCTCTCTCCGCTCCTTCCACTTATTCCTCCCAACCCTCCCTCCCCCCCTTCCTTCCACCCACCCACACCTGCCTTCCTTCCTTTCACCCATCCCTCCCTTCTTTCCTTCCACCCACCCCTTAGTTCTTTCTTTCCTCCTTCCACCCCCCCCTCCCTTCCTTCCACCAACCCCTTCCTTCCACCCCTCTCTCCCTTCCTTTGTTCCACCCACCCACCCCTCCCTTCCTTCCAACCCTCCCACCCCCTCCCTTCCCATCCTTCCTTCCACCATTCCTTTCTTCCACCCCCTCCCCTTCCTTCCTTCCTTCTACCGATACCTCCCTCCCTTTCACCCCTCCCCCCCTTCTTCCACCCCTCCCCCCTTCCACACCCCATTATTTCCACCCCTTCCTCCACCCTTCCCTCCCATCCACATCTCCCTCTCCCTTCCTTCCCCCCCTCCCTCCCATCCACATCTCCCTCCCTCCCTTCCTTCCACCCCTCCCTTCCCCTCTCTCCGCTCCTTCCACTCGTTCCTCCCACCCCTCCCTCCCCCCTTCCTTCCACCCACCCACACCTGCCTTCCTTCCTTCCACCCACCCCTCCCTTCTTTCCTTCCACCCACCCCTTAGTTCTTTCCTTCCTTCCTTCCACCCACCCCTCCCTCCTTTCCTTCCTTCCACCCCTCTCTCCCTTCCTTTGTTCCACCCACCTACCCCTCCCTTCCACCCCACCCCTTCCTTCCTTCTATCGTTCCCTCCCTCGCTTTCACCACTCCCCCCTTCCTTCCACCCCTCCCCCCATTTTTCCACCCCCTTCTCCCTCCCTTCCATCCACATCTCCCTCCCTTTTTCCCTCCCTTCCTTCCACCCTCCCTCCCTTTCTCCCTTCCTTCCTTCCACCCCTTCCTTCCATCCTTCTTTCCCTTTCTTTCTTCATTCGCTTTCTTCATTCTGCATAAAACAATTAACAGTGCCATCTCATGAGATAGTTTAGGAGGGTGTGTTTAGGGGCGTAATGAAGGGCAGCGTAGGGGTTGGGTGGGGCAACTGGTGGTGAGAAACTCTTAAGTCCTGGATAGTAGCTCAGGACTTGAAATTTTGAGCCCTGGATATAGTATAGTAAAAACAGTCTAGAAAAAAAGAAAACTAAAGCAACTACCATATCTATGGACTGATAGATAGAAATATATTACTTTTTTGTTCTTGAGTTTGACTACACCTAATTAAGTGCTAAATTACAAAGTTAAATTTTAAAGCATCACATTTTAAACTAATAGGTTTGAAATGAAATTGAGCTCTAAGGTAAATTCATGGCTGCTAGTACACCGACAGTTATATATTGATAATAAAATTGGTGAAAAAAGTGAAGCACTTAAAAACCAATCAAAACATCAAATCACCACATATGAAAATAAATCAGAAAACAGTTCATAGGAAATTAACATAAAAGTCCACCATCCAGAGTGTAATAAACAGCTTTAGGGTATATCTTCCTTTGACAGAAATGGATTCCCATATTAGGGATACCACTCCAAAGTGTTCTTTCACCGCATGCTCTATAAAACACGCTTACCAGAATGATATGACCCTGTTCCTCAGAGAAGTTTAATATAAGCCTGTGTGTGAAGGACCCTCTGTGGCACCCTCTTTGACTTAGCCGATGTCATTACGCATCCTGGAGCCTGAAAGTAGCCTGCCTGAACTTCGGGACCAGCTTAATACAGGCATTGCTTCTTTTATGTTTGTGAGTATTTTGGTTGTTTTAATAAAATTTGTAGCTTACGGTTTTAAACTGTGGCTTCCTTGGTTTTCTTTTTAACGATATTGGAGAAAAATTAACAGAGACCTGTATAAGAGGATAATTACACCGTGACTGTGTGAACACAGGCGTATATTGACTTCTCTGAGTAAGAAAGTCATATCATTCAGGTACATATTTAAAAAGCATGCAGTGAAGGAACACTGTGGAGTGGTACTCTTAAAGTGGGGTGATCTTTATTTCTGTGTAAAGAAGATATATCTTAAAGCTATTTATTACATTCTGGATGGTGAACTTTTATGTTAATTTCCTATGAACTGTTTTCTGATTTATAATCACATGTGGTGAATGATGATTGAGGTTTGGATTGGTTTTTAGGTAAAGCACTTTTTTCACTACATTTTAAACCGCCTAATGCTGGTCTTTGTTTTAAAAGGAAACAGAACAGATATATAATTGTGCCTAGTCAATACCTTAAAATATCTAGCTGTCTGGAATTCCTCCTAAAAAATAGTATAGCACATCCTGCTATGTGAGTGCCTAGGCCTAGGCACTCCTGTGCATACAGCCTTATAGCTTTAAATCTGCAGTGTGAGATCTAAGGTAGCAATGCAGATATACAGCTATAAGGCTGTATGCACAGGAGTACCTAGGACATTTGATGATGTCATTATTGTGCTTCTCACTATTCACCTTGCTGGAGAGGAAGCAAAGCCCAGCCTATACCACACAGAGATACAGTGTGGTATAGGCAGGGAGACCACAGGAAATTCTGGTGACTAGGTTTAAAGTGGAACTCCGACTTGCTCCTGAGCCTACATTCAACTTGAAAGATGAGCGGTGCTAGAGTTTAGAAGACTTTGTGAACAGAGAAGGCACTGGAGAAAGGGTGAGTATTAATCCCAATAGTGAAAAATATGGTATTGTAGGTAATGTGGGAAATGGCATAAATAGAAACCATATGCTTTTTGTTTGATCATGCATTCTTTCTACAGCAATTCTTATCAGAATATATGGATATACTTGGAACACATGCTGCCACTGACCTCCATAAGTTGGGTATCTGGTAAATATTTTTTCCTTCCAGTGATCCACAAATACAAAATCCAGAGTGTCCACTTCATATTTCTTCTTCAGCTGGGGGATAATATCATGTGTGCTGCCTTCCAATATCTGAACCTAGACATCAATCGAAAAGTTTATTAACACAGCATAGATACTAGTAAACTAATAATAATGATTATAATGAAATAATTACTTGTGAGCCACCTGGAGTTATCCTACTCTATTATTCAATCAATTTCATATAAAAAAAATATGTGAAACTCCTATAGTGTTTACTGATTTATTAATTGTGTGCTTAAATCAATATTAGATCGCTAGGCACTAGTTACACCCTCTCTAGGTGTGTGAATATAAACTATGAATTACAATGTTGTACCGCGCTCCAATATTATCAACCTTTAGTGATTGAGTGAATCTCTTAATTTACCACCTATAATCCAATCATTTCTTACATCTATAGTACTTAAATATACAATTGATATATATACATATATTATATATATATATATATATATATATATATATATAAATTAAATCATATTGTAAATATAAAAAATATAAAAAAATAAATCATATATATATATATATATATATATATATATATAAATATATAAATTAAATCATATTGTAAATATAAAAAAATAAATCTGTATCAAAAAATTAAATGTGAGTAAACTGAAAATTAATAAAAAATAAAAATGTCAATTATATATAAATAAAAAGAAAAAAATATTCAACAGAAAAAAATTAATTAAACAGAAAAAAATTAAAAATAGGAATGTCAATCCTTTTCTTTGAAATTGAGATGGTAAGGTTACTCAATTTGATTAATGTGATAAGTCTGTGTTCACAGCTTGAACTCTCTCTCTCCTGTCTCCTCTCCTCTCTCCTCAGCACAGCCTTCTCAATTGTGCTTTCTTTACTGACTGCTTTATTTATTCCTCCATATACGGAACATGCAGAGAAGGGAAAAGAAACATAGTGTCTTATCCGGGATATAAATGATTTATTGCTCTTAGATCTCCCACTCACATTGTGTAAATATAAATAGCGCTTTGTATACAATGTATCCAGATTGTGCTTCAGATAGCCTGGCTGGTGTGTTTGCTTTCAGTAAATATACTCGCCGTTCCTCTATTCTCCTCTGTGGATGCGTGATGACGTCACCGCCCCTCCCCTACGCGTTACGCTACAGGGACTCGTAGCTTCCTCTGGGGGATGTAGTTTTTGTAGTGCGCGGTACAACATTGTAATTCATAATAATAATGATTACTGCAAAAGATATCTGCTCTATGATTCCATGATCTTCCTACATACAGTACTGTGCAAATGTTTTAAACAGGTGTGAAAAGTGGTATAAATTAATAATGGTTTCAGAAATAGAAGTGTTAATAGTTTATTTTTATCAATTAACAAAATGGACAGTAAATGAACAGAAGAGAAACCCAAATCAGATCATATTTGGCCACCCTTTGCCTTCAAAACAGCAGCAACTCTGCAATTCTTCTAGGTACACAGTTTTTGAATGAACTCAGCAGGTAGGTTGTTCCAAACATCTTGGAGAACTAACCACAGCTTCTCTGTGGATCTAGACTACCTAAAATCCTTCTGTCTATTCATATAATCCAAGACAGACTCCATGATGTTGAGATCAGAGGTATGTGGGATCCAAACCATCCCTCCAGGACTTCTCGTTCTTTTTTACGTTGAAGATAGTTCTTTATTACATTAACTGCATGTTTAGGGTCGTAGTCTCGCCGCAGAATAAATTATTATTATTATACAGGTTTATACAGGGGCCAATCACACGCCTCCCTGATGGTATGGCATGATGGATAAGTATATGCCTGTGTTTCCCAGCATTGAGGACACCATTGATCCTGACCAAATCTTCATCTCCATTCGCAGATACGCAGCCCCAAACCTGCAAGGAACCTCCACCATGGTTTACTATTGCCTGCAGACACTCATTATTTTATCATTCTCTAGCCCTTTCGGAACAAACTTTCTCCTGCTACAGCCAAATATTTCAGTTTTGACTCATCAGTCCAGAGCACCTGCTGCAATTTTCTGCACCCCAGTTCCTATGTTTTCTTATTTTTTTTTTACATTCTTTTACTATGGCAAAACTGCTCAGATACAGCATGTCAAGTCATCACAGAAAATCTTCCAGTCTGTCAAAAATGCAATAAATCAACACATACTTGGCATAAAAGGATGACATAAAAGAGGCAAAAACAATGTATACAATTGTTGACTGCATATGCACAGCTTTGCATATACTACAGGTACTAATTATCACGTGTTAGCATTATTCTGTGATTCAGGAACTTCTGAGAAGTCATTTTACTTCTAGAATAGATGGGTAGTAATAGAAAGGCAGAGGAAAGGGAAAAGGGAGCATGAGAACCAGGGGACAAGAATAAAAAAAAGGGGGGAGGAGGGAGGAGAGGAAGGGACACGAGAACATGCAGGTCACACTCCAAAAGGGTAATGCAACAGGAGACCTAAAGTATAAGCAGATTTGGAGCTTCTACATGGGTTAGCTCAGGGTGGACTGAGAACTGCGTCACCACAGTAGAGGCAGAGGTTGAACTTCTGTCGTCGAATGCGTTCTGCCGCAGACAAAAGCGGTCTCCAAAAGCTCCTCCTAGATGGATTAGTGGGCGATTCTGATGGAACATCATTCGTAGAGGGCACGGAGGTCCCTATTTCTGAACATATCAGAATCTCCCCGTTAGTTTTTTCATCCTGTCTTTCCCGAATCCGACGTCAATGTGGATCGTCAGATCTATCAGGTTCTCCAACCTGGTTGGTACCCCCACTCGGGCAAGCTCATCCTTCAGGGTGTCAGAAAGACCAAGACGGAATTGGTAGCGGAGAGCAGCTCGTTCCACTGAGTATCGGAACTCCAGATGCAGAAATCAGTAACATATTCTTCCACAGGCTTTTGGCCTTGCTGTAGCTTACTAAGCATAGATTCAGCAGTTTGACGCAGGAAAGGATCAGCATAGATTTGTGCCATTGCTGTGAAAAAAGAGTCCACTGAAGTTAGAGCCAGATCATGCTGCTCAGGAAGGTGGTATGCCCAGGACTGAGGTTCATTCCTAAGAAGTGTGATGATGAATCCCACTTTGGTGCTTGGTGATGTAAAGGTCCTTGGAAGCAGCGAAAAATATAGCTCGCAGGAGTTACGAAAAGTTCTGAACTTCCTGCGGTCTCCTGTAAAAAAACTCAGGCGTAGGCACCCGGGGTTCCAGTAGGGAAGGGGTTCCAAAGATCACACTGGGTTCTGTTTGAGTGGTTGCATCTAAGGCTGCAGTGAGGTCCGTGTCTGTGGGGTCATTAGACTCGGTTAGCAGTTGACTCTCCAGATCCTTAAAGTTTCTCTGCAGATCTTGCACCAAGTTAAACAAGGCAGATACTGATTGGCAAATGTCCCCCAATGGAGAGGCCTCCCTTTCAGACCCCATCATTGGCTGACTGGTACTGTCACGTACCTGATGGGAGACTGAAATGACGAGGTCGGCCTCACTTGTGTCACTAGCCCTGACCCCGCTGGAGTTGGAACAGAGGGATTCTAGGACCCAGGGGAACAAGAGTGCCAGTAGTTGTTGCTTGCAGCTCTTGCAGATGATGACCTTGGAAGGCTGATGATCCTCTGATTTTGGCACAGTAGCAGTAGGCAGAGCAGGTTTTGTAGATTGCCAGGCGTGCACCAGAGCAAGGCAGGTAGTGAGGACAAGAGACAGGAGCAATGTCATGGAATAGCCAGGGTCATCAACAGTCGGGCAGCAGGGTACAGAATCAGAAGGAAAAGCCAAGGTCAGGAGCAGAGCCAAAGTCAGGAACCAGTATCAGGAGAGCAATCAGAGTCAGGTGAGGAAAGAGCCAGTCCAGCAACAAAGGAATCACACAGGAACAAGCAGGGCACGGGGGAGCTGAAGACCAGTCAGCACTGAACATGAGCAGAGGCACTTCTTAAATAGGCTGTCTAACGCCAATCTTCGCCGTGCATGTGCGCGATCGCGCATGCACACAAGCGGCAATTCTTCTGTGGGAATTCCTATGCGCATTTCCGATCGCGATTCTTCTTGCCGGAAATCCCTTACACACCTGCTTTTTTTGTTCCTCCTGTCCTGACCAACCTGGTCTCTGCCTCAAGGACTGCTTTCGTAGCTACCACACACTAGTGGAGTATTAATATAGGGTACAGCACGGCACAGTTCAGGGCAAGTATTTACACAGGGTCTCGAAAGATGTTAAGTAGTCAGGAAACTGGCTATGGTATTTAGAGAGACACTGCAATCTGTTTTTAAAAATGTTAAAGTTTAAAAAAAATAAAAAATAAAAAAAATAAAAAGTACAAATCCCAACCCAAAATTTTAAAAACCTAAATAGTTATAGTTTTTTTGTTGTCGTTATTGTTATTGTTCTACTATTACACTTTAATTGTTACTGTTTTATTGTTAACCATTGCTGTTTTCTTTGCAGGAATGCTTTCAGCTGCAGCACCAACCTGTTTATTCTGAGAGCAACAGGAACTTGCTCTCAGAATATACATAAATCAGTGTGGGCAGTGCTGTTAGATGAGATTTCTCATCCGCAGTTTATAAAAGAGCATATATGAAGCATAGGGGCCAGTGGGTAGATGGCCCCTATGCTTCGGCATATATATTTTATAATATTTGTTGGCACATTTCATGTGTGCCCACCATTAGAAGTGGGTGGATGCAGGGAGGTACTGTATATATTCTAATAGTGGGCATACCCCACTCTTTTCCTGGCAGAGATATTTCAATAAAAACGTTGTTTTGGTGAGTTACTGTTTTATTGTTAACCATTGCTGTTTTCTTTGCAGGAATGTCATTAAACTGCAGCACCTTCTTGTTTATTCTGAGAGCAACAGGGTCTTGCTCTCAGAATATACATAAATAGGTGTGTGCAGTGCTGTTGGATGAGATTTTTCATCCGCAGTTAAAAAAAAGAGCATATATGCCGAAGCATGGGGGCCTGGGGTGGCCAGCGGGTGGATGGCCCTTATGCTTCGGCATATATATTTTATAATATTTGTTGGCACATTTCATGTGTGCCCACCATTACACCCTGTTCGA